AGTTGAGTATTCCCGCCCGCCTGCGGCCCTTCAAGTCTAAATTCAGCCTTTACTTACCCCCGACTACCGCGTGTAGCCCTGAAAATGTTTTGGCGGAGAAAGTTACTTCCTCGGGAACCATGGAATCTAGGAGGCCGAAATTCTAGGGCAATGTTCTTTGCTCACGTAAGACACATTCAACCTTTTGTTAGTGTAGTTGCTACGTAGAATTTTTGGCGGGGAGAATTACCATCTCGGAAACTGCGAAAGCTAGGAGGCTGAAATTTTAGGATAATGTTCTCTACTTACGTTCAACCTCGCCAAATCGAATTCAGCTCTTATGAACAGTTTTAACTAGAAGAAGCCTGAAATGGCAGTCAAATCATGTGAAAACTAGAAAACCGCCTGGTATGGCTTTAAAAATTTCCTTCTCTTCAAACAGTTTGTAAGCTTTTTATCAGCAGGGAACAGCCGGTACAACATGGGAACAAAGTATGCTCAGAACAGCAGAACTCTGTTGATTCAAGGACAAGCCAGAACTAGCTGATAAGGACTTTTTATCAGTTGTAAATGATGACTACTGATTTTTAAAACTGATCATAATGCCAGTGCTTCGATTCGAACTGATGGATTTTTAAGAAAAACAGGAAAAAACTGATTAGGCGCCAGTTATTATTTTACCTTCCTAAACGGTAAAGCGCGGGACAAAGTGTCGTTGCTCAGCATACACCAAGGGCATCTCGAAACGGCTAAAGCTCTGTAAAGTAGTTTTGCTGAAAGAGCTGTTGTGCTAGTAATCCCTTCACAGGACAAAGCGGACATCAGAATCGTCAGCAGGTCGACCACAACGAAATGAGCATTGGTCAAATTAGCTGGAAAAATTGCCGGCTGTAAAGATGAAGAAAAAGGTTGATCTAAGCGCTGCTGATCCAAGCGCTCCAGATCGTAGTTTTATAGAGTTACTTATTATTTTCCATAAATGCGGTAAAGAGATTACCTGCAAATTAATCTATTTTAAGTAAATCTTCCTTCTTATTCCTAATTATTCTACTTAATTTATTGAGCCTACCAAATACGTCAGTACTGAGCGCAGTACACGGCTGACACATGGCTGAGGGCGGCAGCTTCAGAAATTTTCCTGGAATAATCTATCCACACTGCTCTGACACCAGGTATGCGCACTGCATCATCCGTAGTTAAACAGACTTTCATTTTCCTTCTCACAAATATCACTGTCCGAATCGTAGTAGCTTATTTTTAAAGGTTATGTAAAGCTGATTTTTGTATTAATTTATTTCGATATTTTGAGTCTTTTAGGAATTTTTGCTTACCATATGCTGCACACTGCTGAATGGCACCCGCGACAGTATAAATGACCACGGTCGGCCTTCGAGGCATATATCTCGGGCAGTCAGCAGGTGCAAAATGAAGGTGTATAGCCCAAATTCGAACTGCCTGACACAGCTGTGCCAGGCACCTGAGAGCATCCCAATAACATCACTAACATGGGATGCAGCACTACTAGCCTGGAGCGCTCTTGATATTCTTGATATATGTTCATCGTTTCCTATGATTATCAACTGATTAGGCATTACTACTCATCGATATCTTTTTTTTTGTTTAAACTTTGCATAAATAGGAACAACATCAAAAAAATGTTTGAGTGTGAAGAATGTGTTCTGGAGGGTTCAGTGCTCGGTGTCTCTTTCCGGTTCCATCATCAGCCTTTTATCAGAGCTTTTTATCAAAAAAACAGAGTCGACAAATTCTGCTGGCGGCGCGCTTCAACTCTTGCGCGCATTCTTTCAACGCCCCAGTTAATTTATTTACACTTTTTTTCCTATTCCAATATTTTATTTATAAGTCGCTCAAATACTCTGCATTTAAATGCACAGTAACAAAGGACATTTGCTGTTTTGTTTAGTTACAGGATACTAAAGAAACAGTTGCTCCATACTCTCAAAGCGCAGCTGTTAAATTTTCATTTTATGGGTTTTAAATGATAAAATGTTTGCTCTAAGGGGAACAGGAGGTTTTGTCTTTCTGGTTGGCTCCAATTCAAATCTGATTCATGTTGACTTCAGACATAAATTGGAACTAACCAGAACGAAAATGCCGAAGTCTTGAGGACAGATATTTTCCAAATAACTGAAGATCTCTGTTTGAAAACAATTATCAAATCTTACTGTATCTTTATGACTACTGATGCAACTTGAGTCGGCTTTTGTAACTCAAAAACTAAGCAACAAGCTGAAGAATTAGGCTGATTAATTTATCAAAACTCGAACAGCAACGACTCTTCAGTATCACCATGCTGGAGCAATACAGTACGGAAGTGAAACGTGACCACTGACAAAAGCAGAATAGAGAACGCTGTCTAATTGGAAAATCTCCAGAAAGTTGGCGCGCTAGTTTTGAAGCAGAAATTTGAATTGTACTGCACGAAATAAAAAGACGGCATAGCTTCACTCGGTGTGTAAAATATGTTTAAGTATTATTAGGCTCTGGACTAGCATTCCGGTCTATTTTGGTATCCACGATAAGATTCTGTATTTTTGCTTTGAGGGCCCTGTGTTAGTAATATTACGTCAGCAATATTACGTCATCATCCTTAAAATGTTCTGGGTAACCACGAATAACTATCAAAATTTTAAGTTTAGATCTGAAAATATTGTTATTTGTTGTGACAACCCTTGAGTCCGCATGTGATTCAATTCTCCTCAGGAATACCACATTTCTTCTGTAACCACAAATCATATTTGATCAAAGAAAAAATGCAGTCGCAACTTTAATTTTCGGACTTATCAGGCAATCACAAACTGCCTATATTATCAGTCGGTAGCACCTTTTCTTTTTAGGAGATGCAGACAGTTTATTTTTGGTTTCACATTTCACTTCAGTATAAAAGAGGTTGAAAAGGCAAAGTTAAGTTTATAGCCCTACACATACAGATTCTAGCTTCTCCAGTTTCCTAGTTCTGATGTGGATTATTGGGAAGTATATCTTTGTGAATATACGTACACGTGTATATGTATATATACCTACATACCTACAAATACCTGTACATATTTATGTAATAAAAGTACGTAATAGATTTACCCTGAAACGGTCTTCCAGCTAGACCCCACGGTCCTGTTTGTTCTAGTATTCATAGCACATTTTAACAATAATCACTTGATGGCAAAGCTGTTAGGAACTCATTCTTCAACGATTTGGGTAGCAGCAAACTGATAACGATCATCACCAATTTATCACCGAACTAATCGAAATCGAATCATGGACGTTTGATTTTTCTACTTAAACTGTCGGATTCTCGACGCTCAAAACCGAGAGTAGGGCTACCTGCTAATACACAACGCCGATCAGTTTCCGCTTTCTAGTCATTTCGGATTTTAACTATAAAAAGATGTGTTGATTATAAGAAAGATTTTTGTTATGTGTACTTGTTCTTACCGAAACTGATTACTTGGGGTGAGATATTTTTTTGCTATTTTTCATCAGTGATGTCCAATAAATTTGACAACGAAAGTGGAAAGAGATCGAAATTTAAAAAGCGGAGTGTATTTCTTCCAAAAAGTAATTAATTTCGAGCAAACTTTCCGGTTTTCAGCTCTTCCCGGCACTCTTCCGATTCTGTGCATACAGTACAAGCTTTCTTTGCTTATTTTGTTTTTTATGTTATTTTGAATCACATAGTATTTGCGCCAGCTGTTTCCAAATCCTGCAGGATTTGTGACGCACCGCTTTAATTCAAAAGTTTTTTATTTCCTTTTTACAGAAATTTTGCAGTCTATCACACTTTGTAGTATTATTCACTGGCGAGCGAGCATTTTTTTTAATAGAGCACTTTTTGGAAATTTTTGAGAAATATGTTTTAAATTTGGAATGTGCGTAGTATTTCATACTAATTACAACAGATTCAATTCACGGAATTTTGCGGCGTACATCTGCAGTTTGATGGCTGCAACAGTTTTCTTCGAGAAGCATGAAACTACATAAATTTAAAAATATTTTCTTACCTCATTCAGTTACTGTTTCATCACTGTCTTCGCCACTGAATCATCTAGCATTTCCAGTCCTCTCTGTTTCGAGCTTCTCTTATCCGTATAATTTTATACAGCCATTTAAGAAGATCCTTTCATCGTATTGTGGGCCTTTTTTTGCGTTCTTTCATATTACGTTTTTACTTTTATAAAGTAGAAGTTTTGCCTTTACAGCCTGCTTTTGGCTGATTTAGCGACTAAGAGCGAAGAGGTTATCAGGCGCATGTATTATCTAGTTTCTGTTTTATGAGCTTTTTTCAACACAATTTTGCACGAACACGCTGAATGCAATAACAAAAAGTATGTCGCGAAACAAAAAGGGTGAGATTTTTGAAGATTTAGGGTGAGCGATTTGTGACGCTGAACCACGAAATGACAACTTTGGTGGAACTGTTCAACGAGGCAGCACGTAGTGAACTGAGGAAGAGAGTTGTTGTTTGTGATGCAGACGCCGAATGGACACTGGGTGAACTGGACTTACTTTCTGACTCTCTGGCAAAATTCTTCATCGAGAAATATGGTGCCAAGAAGGGAAACTGCATTGGAATTTATATGAACAAGTGTGCTTACTATGTTCTTGCGTATACTGCTGCACTTAAAGCCGGTTCGTTCGATTTTCGCTTTTCCCAGTCGAATTAGAAATTTCACTGGTGAAGTTAAAGCCAGAAGTCAAAAACTTCGCCGTGTTAGCTTTCTATGAAAGGTGGGAGGAACCAGAAATTAGACCAAATTAATAAGAACAATCACGAGCTGGCAAAGCTAACATTGTGAGCTGCTTGCAAACAAGTTTATAGCAAAAATTTACCATATGTCAATGAAAATGCCGATGCCAACTCCCTGACATATGCCAGTAAGAATTTACCATCGAAAAGCATAAACGAATCGTAGACAGACTAGTTCGACCAACTGCACAACAATACTATTATCCATTGCGCCATGCCTATTTAGTTTCTTGTAAAATTAAGCTTAAAAGGCCGTTATGATGATTTCACACATGCAATGGTTCATGCATGCACAGTTTATCGTAAAAACGTCTGAGGACACCTTACCCTTAAATTCAAAGCCGAAGGAGTTCGCGAATGTAGAATGCGACTCCGAGGAATATTAGAATGCATTTGTTTGCTCCAAATATTGAATCGAACTTTTCGGAAACTAATAGAAAAAATTTAAATGCTTTGAATCCCCATCACACGTTACATACAAGAATGTGACCCTGAAAAATCATGAATCGCTCAAATCCGTTGCTAAAATTTGCAGGATGTGCATATTTGCCACTGGACATTTCATATCCACAAACACTGCTCACTGAAATTCTCAAAGAAATTTCGCCGGTCGTGATTTGTTCCACTGCTGACCATGTTGCACGTTTGCCCGGTAAATTTTAGACACCAATCAGGAGTTTCCAACTTGCCTCCGCAACTTAGATGTCTGGAAGAATTTTTTATTAGTCGACTTCTTTAGTTTCTTTTATTGAGATTAATCGATTTCCCTGATTTTTTTTT